TTAACCAGTGGAACCGCTTGCCTTCAGAAGTTGAGTGCTGATTGCTGGTGGAGAGGTGCTGGAGTCTGTTTCTCTTTTGGGCTGGTTGATTGTCTCTTTTGCACAGTCTATAGATGTTGTTAATGTCTATGTGTCTATTGATGGCTGATTTGTCAGAGTGCCAGCCTTCTAGAAATTCCCTGGCATTTTTGGATTTGGCCTAATCCCTAAGACCGCCCCCACCTAGACAGACAGGCAAGACACCAAAATATAAACTGACAGTAAACCCCACTCCTGACTAGCACTGATGATGTTACCTAGTTATGATAATGAAATGTCTGCAAGAAAGCAAGAAAGCTCAGAGAGCACCAAGGACCCCTCAGAGTATTTCTGCTAGGATATTGTATTGAAATATATAACTGGCCAAGAGAAAATGTGGAAACTTGTACCTCTTCGTATTTCAGGTCCCGCTGAACAAAATACAAATGACCTTTTAAGCAAAGCAATCCAGCTATTGATATGTTTTCTAGTACTTGCTGGGATTTCTGATAGAATTTTTATTTCCAGTTGCTTTCATGATTTGACTACATGCTTTTAACAAAAATTTCCCAGAGGCTAACAAGGGGTAATGTCCTATACATTATTCACTTGCTCCTTTTAAATGCTTCAGAGCGTCTCCGAAAAGCTGGAAGCGTAATCCTATACTTGTCTCCTTAAAAAAAAAATTCCACATATATAAACTCTTACTCATACATGGTACGGAGACAGAACAAATGAAAAATTGCGTAATAAAATGGATGCAAAACTTTAAAGAAACAGTCACAACACAAACACAACAAACCCATTGTTTGCCAGAAATCGGATGTAAACACTGTCCTAAATTGCCACTTTATGTGATCATGGGACACTGCAAATGGCCGTAAATGAGGGCCAGTTGCTGAACATCCCAAATATGGTCACAGGACTGTGGGAGGTGGGATAGCTGTTGGAAGTTCAAATCCGAATCGTAAGTTCTTTTGGTGTCCATTGTAACTTTGAACTGTTGCTAAGCAACTGGTCATTAAGCAAGGACTAGCTGAAGCACCAGTGACCTGATATGCATATAAAATATGATTTGTATAAACAGGACCAGCAACAAAATGTCACAACATGAGGAGAATTTTCTATTTGGAATTCCATGGGTGACATTCCATCCATTTCTCCCTCAACATCAGATAGTTTGCTATAATTACAGGTAGTCCTTATGATTACAGTTGAGCCAAACATTTCTGTTGCTAAGTGAGACAGTTCTTAAAATGAGTTTTGTCCCATTTTACGACCTTTCCTGTCACAGTTGTTAAGTGAATCAATGCGGTTGTTAAATTAGTAACATGGTTAAGTGAATCTGGCTTCCCCATTGACTTTGCTTGCCAGCTATAGAGGATCACATGACCCTGGGACTCTGAAACCGTCATAAATATGAACCAGTTACTAAGCATTTGAATTTTTGATCATGTGACCATGGGGTTGCCCTGATGGTCATAAGTGTGAAAAAGGTCATAAGTTACTTTTGTCAATGCAGTTTTGACTTTGAACAGTCACTAAACTGATGATTGTAAATCAAGGACTATGTGCGATTATTGAATGTGCTCAGTCATCACTAAACTGCTTTATGAGAGCAAAGAAACCAACAAGGTCCTAAACACTTTTTGAATCTCTGCAGATTCTGCTCATTTTCCTTGCTTCTTTGTAGTTCCCTAGTTTTACTTTGTCAGGGTTATTTAGGTTATGCAATTGCCTTAAGGGTGGAAATGACGGGCAAGGCTCGGTTGATTGTTTTGGATAGAATCAAGGATAGCAAACAACAGAGGTATGGAATTAGTCTCCTTTTACTGTCTGAAACATTTGCTCATGAAATCAGGAGCAGTCTGATTTCCAGCTAAGACATTTAATTAAAAAGCTTCTGCTTTCAAAAGCTGCAACTCAGTTCATCAGATGCAAGAATGATGTCTCTGATTAATGGATCCAATGAAAGTTTACGCCCTTTAATAATATTTGCCTGAATTACAGACACTCACATCTGAGTCACCGCCTGCTTGTATTACTACAATGCAGTCTGCATGAGCCTGTCTTTGAAGTGTATTTGGAAGCTTCAGTTGATGCAAAATGTAACAGCCTTGGCCATTATATTCAGTACACACACACACACACACACGACAAGGTCAAGGTCCCGACTGCTAAGGCGTCTCAATTGGTAGGGCCCAGGAGCAGAGCCTTTTCTGTGGTTGTGCCCATCCTCTGGAATTTTGTTCCTCTGGACCAGGGGTAGGCAACCTTGGCTCTTTTATGACTCGTGGACTTCAACTCCCAGAATTCCTGAGCCAGCATGGCTCAGCTTGGAAACTCTCCCTTTCCCCTCAGCATGGCTGGCTCAGGAATTCTGGGAATTGAAGTCCACGAGTCATAAAAGAGCCAAGGTTGCCTACCCCTGCTTCTGGACAATAGATTGGCCTCATCCCCTTTGGCCTTCCGTAAGGCCTTGAACGTGACTCTGTGCTTGAATTTTGGATGCATGATGGAACCCATTTCCTGGTTATCTTGAAGGTGAAGTTTTGTAGTTTTTTCTCAGCTGCTGTATGTTTTATGTTTTTATACATGCTTTTATCTATTATAGAATTAAATAGAACCTTTTTAAATATTGTTATCTGCCTAGAGTTGTATATTTGAGATGGATGGCTGTATAAAATGAATGAATGAATGAATGAATCAATCAATCAATCAATCAATCAAATTGTTGCTCAGGGGCTACCAGACTCAATCTTGGTTTTTGCCACCATAGACTACCATGTTCTTCTCTTACAATCTGAAATGTATCCATTCTTTGAAAATGAACGATTGCTGTCTAATGTGGTTAATTACTTCCTGGAGTATTTGTCAAATTACTTTAAATTCTGTTTACACAAATGTGAATTATCGTTGCATATAACCCATAGTGGGTAGAGAAGAAGACAGGACGAGGAGGACCAATGAAATAATGCAGTGGTGCCCAACCTTTCTAGCTTGGCGGCCTAGCCCGGCATGGTGTGTGTGTGTGTGTGTGTGTGTGTATGTCATGTGAGTGGCAGGCACATGTGTGTGCACACAGCTCCATTTGTGTGAACAGTGCACATACACCCTCCACTTGCAAAAATGGAGCTTTGTGCATGAGCAGAGCTTCACACGCGACTGCAGAGTGATGGGTGCTCCGTTAAAGGAAGTCTTCAAAAAAAGATTGGACAGCCATTTATCTGGGATGGAATAAAGTCTCCTACCTTGAACAGGGGTTTGGACTAGAAGACACCCCCCCAAGGTCCCTGCCAGCCCTGTGACTCTATGATTCTATGATTCTATAATAGATGAGTGATACCTTATTCATTTATAAAACATTTCTGTTCTGCTTTTCCTCATATCGGACACCAGGGTGGGCTCTTACATACACAATCAATTACTTTTAAAACCCAGAATTTTAAAACTATTATCCAAGAGCCCTAATGATAGGTGGCTGTAACAATTTTCTAATACAGTTCTAAGCAGATGGAAATGTTACACCAATTAAAATGCTTGACTGAGATGTATAGCCTAGCTATACCTGACTGGAGAAAGCATGTCAAAGCTTGGGTTGTAACAGAGAAAAAAATAGTTGTATAAAAAAGATACTAATTTATAACATCCTTTTTAAAAAAAAAAATCTAAGGAGATAGGAAAAAGGACAGACCTTGTTTTGGTACGTTCCCAGATTAAAACTCTGAAAGAAGAAATTACAAACCACTTCCCTACATGTGGGCAATGTGGTGGCTCAGCGGTTAAAAGACTGTGCTTGTCAGCCAGAACCCCAGGTTTAAGATCTGAGCGCCACATGATGGGGTAAGCTCCAATTCTTGCTCCTGCCAACCTAGCAGTTTGAAAGCATGCAAATGTGAGTAGATAAATAGTACCACTTAGGTGGGAAGGTAACAGGACTGTGATGCTGGCCACCTGACTGTGGAAATATCCATGGCCTGAGCACTGCCCTCTGTAGTCAGCAACTACATGGGCCTTATCTGTGAAGTCACCAGCAATCAATCCGCACTGGCAGACTTTGCCTTTATGTTCCTAGCAAAACATCTGGACCGCTCCCAAGGAAATAATAGAGAGATGTTTCCATGAAGTCAGCAGGAACGAAGCTTCACTTTTACACCCCCCCACACCCAAGAAGGGGAACATGCAAAAGAGGGTTGTCTGATTTGGGTTGCAAAGACCCGGCCCACCCTAAGACTGAGCCAGAAGTTGAGGCTTTTGGCTGCCACTTAGCGGCCACCCGGATTTTTACAGCCAACGATGACAATCAACTAAAGAGCAACGAGGGGCAGCGGCGATCTGCAGGGAGGTGGGCGTGGCTGGATTCTCGTCCTCCCCCCGCCCCCATTTAATTAGGAGCAGCGGGAAGAAGGCGGAGACGAAAAGAGAAGGCTTCTCTCTCTTCCCATTGGTTGGAAGACGTGGGGGCGAGGCCGCGGCCATTGGCAAGATGAGGCCAGTGCGCCTGCGTGGCGCCCGCCTGCCACCTCCCTCGTTTCAATCCCGCTTCACAGGCGCGGCGGGAGCTGCTCGGCGGAGTTCGTTGCTGCTGCGGTTGCCGTCTGGGGGCTGATGCGGCGGCTGGCCGGAGCCGTCCTCGGGCTCTGAGCCGCCGGCACTGCCGGGCAGGGCGCGGCCGGGGCAAGGCTCGGGACAGACTCATGAGCACCGCCTTCCCGGCGCCCGGGCGTCGCCGCCGCCCTTCTCCTTCCCAACGCCGGTAGCCGGGCCGGCCGGCTGGCGGCATGTCGTCGCCGACGTGGCTGAGCTGCCGGCTGGCGCTGCGCTTGGGCTCGGCCGGCTCCTCCGCGCGGGCGTCGCGCCTCGGCGGGTGCCGCTGCCTCCTGCTCCTCCTCCGCCGGCGCCTGAGCGCCCTCCGCCGCGCCCCCCGGCCCGAAAACGGACTGTGGCTCCCGCCCGCGGCCTCCTGCTTGGGCTCCCCGCGGCTGCTGGGCACGCACCCCAAGAAGGAGCCGATGGAGGCGCTCAACACGGCGCAGGGGGCCCGCGACTTCATCTACAGCCTGCACTCGACGGAGCGGAGCTGCCTGCTCAGGGAGTTGCACCGCTTCGAGTCCATCGCCATCGCGCAAGGTGAGGGTCGGGGGAAGCGGAGGAACGCCCGTGCACGTGTGAACGAGCCCGGGAGCCGTGCCGGCTGCCCCACCCATCCACCCGTTTTTTGGGGGGGGGTCGTCTCGAACACGCATCTTTTGGGAGGGGCGGGGGATCAGCCTGGGAAAGCGCGCTTGGGGTGTGTATGTGTGTGTACGCATCCCGCGTGCAGGCTGGCTTGCTTGGGAAGTCGAGTAAACACGTGTACGCGCGCAGTCCCCGAGATGGAGACAAAAAAAGGAGATTAGTTTAGGAATGTTGTCATGTTGGCTTTTTTTTCTTTTGGGAGGGCTTGGCGATTTTCCTAGGGCAATCCAAACTAAGCCCCCCTGGTTCCGGGGATGCATCGGCTCTGGGACCAGGTAATTCCGCTTATTTGCATTTCATAAGCAAATGCTTCCAAGTCCCGAACAGGCGTGTGCATGCCTGCATTTTGCTGTAGGGAAATATTCCTGCTCCCTGCGGATCCCCCTGTGCCCGGCAGCTGATGGTTGGGCGCGTGCAGTTGTGGGTTTTTTGTTGTTGTTTGTTTTAGCTTGCCACTGCTAGATGAGAGTTATCCGACCGGCTTCTGTGCCCTAAGTGATATCTGAATGGCCTCTTCTCATATTTTCCTTCAGCTGTGCCAGGCGATGGTGCAAGAAAACTCTCAGTGTGTAACTCGTTTGCCTCTTCCAGCAGATCTCTTTTCTTAAAAAGAACAAAACCTGATTTCTAGAGGGGTAGTTTGTGTTTTCAATATTCCAGCGTTTTTAACAGAATAACAGAATTGGAAGGGACCTTGGAGGTCTTCTAGTCCAACCCACTGCTCAAGCAGGGAAAACCTTATACCATTTCAGATAGATATGGTAGTTTGTCCAGTCTCCTCTTAAAAACATCCAGTGTTGGAACACCTACAACTTCTGGAGGCAAGTTATTCTACTGATTAATTGTTCTAACTGTCAGGAAATTTCTCCTTGGTTCTGGGTTGCTTTTCTCCTTGATTAGTTTCCATCCATTTTTAAAGCTTTTCTGCTGCTCTATTCAGACTCTTGTCATATGGTTTGTTGGTGTAGCATGTAGGGACTGGTAACTTCTTAGCACATTTTTTGATGGAGCCTCCATTAGTTTGTTGATGTTTTAAGCAGTAGAATTTGAACAGGTACTAATCTAGAACATTTACAGAATTAGCTTAATATCAATTGGGAATCAAAGCCAACTTTAGATCCGTTTTGAAAATTAAAACTTTTTAAAAACTTGAGCTAGGTAGGACATTGAAAAATATTGTGTCAAGTGTTACTGAAATATGCACAAAAATATAGGGGAAAGCAGTATTTTGTCCCAAGATTTTTGCACCTTTAATTTCTTTGGCTTCTTTTTTCTGCACTCTGCATAATGTTGCCCACCCCAAAAGGGAATAAAAGTGTATGTTCAGAACACCTGAATGTTCACCGTCATTGCCAGTGTTGGATGTGGTTCTTCCTCAAATGTAATTAATTGAATTGTTTACTCCTTGTTTCTGAAAATCTATGTAGACTACAGCTTTTTTCAGTAGCTTTTAGCCCTGGTAACTAGGAAGGAGGCATACATCTGTCAGAGTGGTACTAAACCATGTTGCATTGTGACACTACAGTTGCTAATGTGGATTATTCCTAGCTTTTTTTGTGCTAATTGGCAGTTTGTAATTAGCAGCTAACAGATACACATGTCTCAGTGGAACGTGAAGAGAGCTGCCACATTACACATATGTGAGTTGTTCTGGAAGACTGCACATCCTTCAAATAAATTGTGTGAGGTGGAAGAATACAGGTAGTCCTTGACTTACAACCATAACTGGGCCCAAAATATCCATTGCTAAGCAAGGCAGTTGTAAAGTGAGTCACACTCCATTTTATGACCTTTTGCTATGGTGGTTAAGCGAATCATTGCAGTTATTAAGTGAATCATTGTCATTAAGTATATCTGGCTTCCCCCATTGACTTTGCTTGTTAGAAGCCAGCTGGGAAGGTTGCAAATGGCAATCACATGACTCTGTGATATGGCAACCAGCATAAATAAATGCTGGTTGCCAAGCGCCCAAATTTTGGTCATGTGCTGTGGGAATGCTGTGATCGTTATAAGTCTTAGGATGGGTCATAAGTCACTTTTTTCAATGCTGTTGTAACTTTGAATGATCACTGAATGGTTATAAGGACTACCTGTATATTCTTTTTGTTTTATTGAGAACAATTATATCCGTAGAACACCGGCATTGGATTGTGCCCTTTACAGGTAGTCCTCAACAACCATTTGTTTAGTGACTGTTCAAAGTCCCTGAAAAAAGGGACTTGTGACTGTTTTTCACACTTCTGACCATTGTGTTATCCCCATGGTCATGTGATCAAAATTTGGATCCTTCTCTACAGGCATATATTTATGACAGTTGCAGTATCGTGGCTTCCTGTGATCATCTAACAAAATGAAATTCAATGGTGAAAAAAGTAAGGTTCTACATTTAGGCAAGAAAAACCAAATGCACAATATAGTATAGGTGGTAGCTTGCTCAATAGTAGTAACTGTGAGAGGGATCTTGGAGTCCTAGTGGACAATCACGTAAATATGAGCCAGCAGTGTGCTGCAGCTGCCAAAAAAGCCAACACAGTGCTAGGCTGCATTAACAGGGACAGAATCAAGATCACGTGAAGTGTTAATACCGCTTTACAATGCCTTGGTAAGGCCACACTTGGAATACTACATCCAGTTTTGGTCACCATGATGTAAAAAAGATGTTGAGACTTTAGAAAGAGTACAGAGAAGAGCAACAAAGATGATCAGGGGACCGGAGCTAAAACATATAAGGAACAGTTGTTGGAATTGGGTATGTCTAGTTCAAGCATGTCAAACTGCCGGCCTACAGGCCGGATGCATCACACCGAAACCGCACCCACCCCATTGCCGGCGATGGGGAAAAAGTGACGATACGTCATGTGATGTCACGTGACGTTGTGAGTTTGACATGCCTGGTCTAGTTTAATGAAGAGAAGGACAAGGGGGGACATGATAGCAGTGTTCCAATATCTCAGGTTGTCACAAAGAAGAGGGAGTCAAGCTATTCTCCGAAGCACCTGAAGGCAGGACAAGAAGCAATGGATGGAAACTAACCAAAGAAAGAACCCTAGAACTAAGGAGAAATTTCCTGACAATCGGAACAATTAGTCAGTGGAACAACCTGCCTCCAGAAGCTGTGAATGCTCCAACACTGGAAGTTTTTAAGAAGAGACTGGACAGCCATTTGTCTGAAATGGTATAGGGTTTCCTGCCTGACTAGAAGACCTCCAAGGTCCCTTCCAACTATTATTATTATTATTATCATCATCATCATCATCATCATCATCATCATCATCATCATTAATATTATTATTATTAATATTATTAATATTAATATTATTAATATTAATATTATTAATATTAATATTATTAATATTATCATCATCTGAAACCTTCTGACAAGCAGTCAATGGGAAAGCCAGATTCACTTAACAACTGTGTCAAGAAAGGTCGTAAAATGGGGCAAAACTCACTTAACAAATGTTTTGCTGAGCAATATAAATTTTGGGTTCAATTGTGGTCACAAGTCAAGGACTACCTATATTTGTCAATGTCTTTAAGATGGATGATAGGTTATGAATTTAGAGCAACTGCTTTAAGTTGTAAAGCATTAGAATATAAATATCACACCTGATTGAGGATTGAGCTTATTTTGAGACTTAGTTTGGGGCAGCATTATTTAAATTTTATAGGGCAGATTGGATTCACATATGCTATATCATAATATAATTTGTTTTTATTTTGGCTTATAGTATTGCCTGAATTGAGCCATTATGGTTTAAGCATCGTGACTGAGTATGTGAATTCAGCCTCTACAAATAACATTTTATAAAGTAATAGAATATACATCTCTAACTGCTTACTAATGGGATCTTAAAATGAACAACTTGGTTTTTGCCGAATATGGCTAGATATTTCCAGTGTCATAGCACTTAGGTTGTGTTCATACCTCATGCTAAATCTTACTTACATAGTATGTTTAGGTGTGTGTCATGTATGTGTGTCACTTTGAGAGTGGACAACTAAATTTCATTTTTGATGTGTGCCATTGTGCCCACAGCAAAAAAATGACAATAAAGCTTATCTTATCTTACTTAATGTAGCTTGCTTCATTTTGAAATAGCCTGATATTGATATCAAATCATTGTGATTTATAGATTAGGATTCTAAATAAAATAGGATCCTGCCTTAGTCAAAAAATGTTGGTCAAAGCAAATACTGGCATAGCATGGTGTGTGAATTAATCTTAACTTTGAGCGATTGCATTAAATTACCAGTTACATATGTGAGTTGCATCATAGTGCAGATAATGCCCACTCAGCTTTTTCCAAAACAAATGACAGCTAATTATGAGTTTCAGTCTGCATAGGTGTGATTGTGCTGAAGTCTAAAGTAGTTATGAGTCTGTTATTTTCACATTGATTTTTCACTCTTTTTAAAAAAAATGGACAGCTGTCAGCCAGCTGATAAATTCAGAGCAATTCTTACCTTTGAAATGGAAAATATCAAAACTGCTTGCTTTGCTTTTTTTATCTTCATCTGTTACAGACTATTAACTGCAAGCTACTATGCCTAAGTTTTGTATTTTATGTATTTAGGAAGTTGCTTGCATTTGACCTTGATCCATATAATGGTGTCCTTGAAGGAACTGAATGGCTTGAACTGTTCCTAGCCTGGGGGATAAGAGACTTGTGTATTATTATTAAATTTTGGAGGAATGCTCAGTAGAAGAAATATTTTCCATCTCTTCCTTCATGTATGCTTGTGTGTTCTTAATCTCTTAGATATAGGTTTTTTTAAAACTAGAATGTTTAAGTAATTTTTCTAGAGTTTAAAATCCCAACTGCAAGTTTTGCTAATATGCTGCCAGTCTGAAGCCTATTTAAATTGATGTTTGTGGGTTGTGGGACAAT